CTGGATTTAAATGTGAAGCAACTTACTACACCAGGTGATTTTTAAGGTTCCTTATACCAGTTTCCAGATAGCAGCACTGCTGACATGTTGGCGTGGATAATTCTATCAGGAGTGTGGGGCTGTCCTGTTCATCGTAGGGTACTTGGCATTCTGTCCAGCCTCTGCCCACTGGAGGCCAATGGCCCCCCGCACACACCCCAGTGCACGTTGTACGTGTGTGCATGCTAAGTCACTGCAGTCGTGTCTGACTTTTTGCAACTCCCTTGACTGCAGCCCACCTGGGTCCTCTGTCCATGGGATTCTCCAGGCAAGAATACTGGAGTGGGTTTCCATGCCCTCCTCCAGGGCCTCTTTCTGACCCAAGGATCGAACCCGTGTCTCATGTCTCCTGCATTGGCAGGCATGTTCTTTACCACTAGCGCCATCTGGGAAGGCCCAGTACCTTGACCAAAAGAGGTTTCCAGATGTGGCCAAATCTTCCAGGAGGGCAAATTCCTGCTGGTTGGGAAACACTTCTATAGAGCTTAATTTCATGACAACTGCTCTATTGCCAAGTACCAACCTCTCCAATTCTTTTCACATTTTGTCAGATAGACCAGCTCTCTCTGTTGAATATTTAAACAGTGTCTTAAGAGTATTGTATATTCTCCAGGTTCTGCTTCCTCTAATTAAAAATATAGAAGTCAGCTTTTACACATACTACATAGATATCGATTTAAAAAGTGACCTCTAACCGGAGATGAAGTAAAGAGATGATTGTAAAATATGTGGCAAGGTTCAACACCAAGAACATAAGCTCGTGAATGGTATAGAAGGACTTTGAACCAGAGCTAGTTTTCCATTAACACCTGTCAGTGGAACTAGGGAGAAGGCTGATATTTTCTTGGCTTTCTCATTTCCATTTTTAAAATATTTATTTATTTATTTGCCTGTGCTGAATCTTTATTGCAGCACATAGGATCTTTAGTTGTGGCATATGAGGTCTAGTTCCCTGACCAGGGATTGAACCTGGGCCCCCTGCATTGGGAGCTCAGAGTCTTAGTCACTGGCCCACCAGGGAAGTCCCTCTCATTTCCATTTTTGAAATATGCTTCTCCAAAACTCTAATGTAAACAGGCAAGTGAATGTTTTGATTTATATATTATAAGTGAAGTGAAGTCGCTCAGTCATGTCTGACTCTTTGCAGACTCCTCCAAGGGGAGGAGTGTTTGCAGACTCCTCCAAGGGGCTCCTCCATCCATGGGATTTTCCAGGCAAGAGTACTGGAGTGAGTTCCATTTCCTTCTCCAATATGTATTATAGTTGACTGTGAAAAAGCTTAGAATATACAATATATGCATTATTCTTGATTAAATAGATTTTTGTAAATATATGTCTTTTTCTTTTCTCATTCAGGAAAATAACATACTATTAAAAAATAAAAAGCTGTCTCAACTTAAATTCTAATTTCCTCATCTTTTAGTAATTATGTATTTATCTTAATACATACATGTCATCTAATTGATATTGTTCTATTGTGGGTTTTGTTTGTGCAGAATGTTGACAAAGTGCTTTTTGAAGGTTATAGAAACTGAAAAGAAGGAGCAAGTCCAAAAACATCTCCCCATCCTTAGGCATTATCTTCAGTATTTTCTATCCTACAGAAAGTAGTTACATGCCACTTAATATTGGACATATTTTTTCCTTATGCAGTAATATTTGTCACAGGAATATTTAGAACCCATTGTTTCAAAAATTCAAGATTTAGCTTTATCTTTCCACAGTCAACTTTTATACCACCAGTATAAAGTTACCAGGTTATACAAAAGTGAACTCACATAAAAGGCAAGAAGGACTCTCCTTAATTTCCTGGCAGTTCGATTTATAATACACATTTCTAGTTATACCTCATCTGTGCATAGTCCTTTTCCTTAAAAGAACTTTCTTTTTTAATATTTATTTATTTTTATTTATTTATTTAGCCATACAGGGTCTTCACTGTGGGATGCGGGATCTTTAGTTGCAGCTTGTGAACTCTTAGGTGCAGCATGTGGGATCTAGTTCCCTGACTAAGGATCGAACCTAGGTCCCTGGCATTGTGAGTGTGGACTCAGTGACTGGACCACCAGGGAAGTCCCAGAGAGAACTCTCAGCGTACAAAGATGTACTCTTAGATTTGGTGATGTTCAAACCCATTACTAGAATCACATGGGCAGCAGATGTGATTTCAGAGTCGATCTTTAAGAATGATGGTGTGGCAAAGAGCATGCACATAAGGGGTGGGAAGTGATCAGTCCTTCGAAGCAGAGGGGCCTTGAGTTTGGCTCTCCCACAACTAACTGCTGACTTTGGAGCAGCCACATTAGTTAGCTAAACTTCAATTTCTTTCATGTATAATTAGGCTGAAGGACCTCTATTTTTTTTAATATATAAAACCTGTATATATGGTATTGAACACACCGATAATGTTGCATTTATTAAGAGCTGAAAATTGTGAACATGTAAATTATCTCATTTAATATTCACCAAAGCTCTATGGGATGCTATTATAATCCTCATTTTGTTAGTGAGTGACGACCCTCAGGTTGGGAGGGGTCAAGAAAGGAATGTGCCCAACGACACACAGCTGCAAGATACAACAGAGAGAAAAACTTTAGGAAAAAGTTTAAGTAAATCTTCCAAATTAATGTGACTTGGGAGTAAAATGTTTGAGTCCCAATTTCTCAGGTTCTGCTATCATAGAGGTCTTCTCTAGATGTGAATCTCCACCATAATTTTGTGCAGTGAGGCTGGGACGGTGGTGACCTTTTCCTTTTGCCCCAAAGCACACAGGTGGGTGGGACAGCTGAGGTTCCGGACTCCTTGGAGGATCCTGTAGCCAGAGAAAGCAGGTCCTTCTTTCCTAACCTCCTAACATCCTGACCTCCATCCCCTCTGTATCCCTAACTAAAAAGTTACTTAATGTATATTCACCCATATTTTTTTTTATTTCTTTGCCCTCCTTCAACTTATTTCTTGTTATTACAATCTGAGATGTTGGAAATAAATAAATTTATATTTCACTCTACATTTAACTAATTCCAGGGATCCCTTTCATATTACAATTTCTATTTCTTCAGTTCTTCATTTGGAATCATCTCTCTCATGACTCTGAGTAAAGTTTTTTCAGGAAGGGTAGACAGGTAATACGTCTTATGAACCTTGTGTATTTGAGAAATTGCTCCTGCTGGCTTTATTCAAATGAATATCAGTTTATCTAGGGATGGAATTCATATATCCTCTGTAATATGCATTTTTTCTCAAAGTCATAAAAATTTCTCCATTTTCTTCTCACATTTATTCTTCTTTCAATCGACATGCTTAAAAAAAAAAAAAACTAAGAATTTTTTTTCATTCCATATCCCTAAATTCCATAAAAGCAGGATACAGTCTATTTTGTTCATGATGGAATACTTTGTACTTCACACAAGGCACTGAAAAATAGTTTTGGATGACTTGCTTCTCTCTTTTATTCTGGTTTATCATTTACCATTAACTCTTCTCTGATGTCCATATCCCATCTTTTCTCTTGTTTTCATCTTCGTTTGTTTCTCCTTTGCTATAGATTCCAGGCAGACTCTCAGCTGTCATATCTACCACTGATTGTATTTTCTGCATTGTCAGTTCTGTTCTTTATTGCTTAAAAGAAGATGTACACCCTGCTGCTGAGTTTTCAGTTCTTTGAATTCTTTTCTTCTTAATCTCAGTCTAATACCTTCTCATCTTAGATTGTTGTGGTTTTGTTTCATCCTGATTCTTTTTTTAATAATTGAAGTAGAGGAGTTATCATCAAGAAAGAAGAAAAAACTATGAAGCCGTTATACTGTACCTCTTAAACTTTAAACGTATACAATGTTATATGTCAATTATATCTCAGTAAAACTGAAAAAACTACATTAAAATATATAAAATATAAAAATTAATATTTTAAAAAGAAAAGAAAAAAGGGGGGAAGGGGCTTATAAAAAGGAAAGCCTGAGGACAGGAAGGACAAACCTTGCTCACTTCACAGTTTGGTCCACTAGAGTGTCCCAGCAAAGTCAGTCCCATTCTTTTAAAAGTTTTAAAACTTTCTGAATTGAGTTAGCCATTCCAGAAAGAACTCTGAGAATGAAGGAACATGATACTTTGGCCTTTTTTCAACACACATTCAAAATTTAAAGGAGCAAGAAGTAAAACAGAAAATTCTGATTGTCCAAATTATTCTTTAACATGTGCCCTAAAATTTAATTTTTTCAAGTATTTACTAGATACTCAAATTAATATGTGACTAATGCAGATATTTACCTACATTAAGAACTTGTGGCTTATAGCATTGCTATGCTTTAATTACTACTTTATGAGACTTTCTTCTTACACATTGTAGTGGTTGCAGATCTCTGTTTCTATAAATGTCATAAGTCTCTATATCATGGCTATTCTTTCTGTAAGTTTTCCATGTCAGTCATTTTAAATTAGAGCTTACATGTGATCAAACTGACATCTGCTACCTTTATAAAATTAGGCATATTTGTTTTTGAGTTCTATTTGAAAAGCAGACTCATGTACATATAGTTTAATATGTTTGTACTCCTTGTGACTGCAGTGTTTGCTCAGTCACTTCAATCATGTCTAACACTTTGCAACCTCGTGGACTGCAGTCCGCCAAGCTCCACTGTCCATAGGATTCTCCAGGGAAGAACACTAGCGTGGGCTGCCGTTCCTTCCTCCAGGGGATCTTTCTGACCCAGGGATTGGACTCAAGTCTTCTGTATTGCAGGTGGATTTTTAAACACTGAGCCACCAGAGAAGCCCTTTGCACTCCATAACTGGAAACAAACTGTATCTTTTTGAGGAAAATCCTCAATAGTATAAAAATGAGAAATCATCTTAGGAAGCTTTGTTCACTTAGTTTGGTTTGTCTTCTAAATTGGGATGGAGATCATATTCTGTTGTTCAACATGAAAAACTGTGACGGAAATTCTTTGTATCTCCTTCCATAGATTCTTTACAGATTAAAAGAAAAATTTCAGCTTTCCCTGAGACAAGATAAAGAGAAAAATCAGGAGATCCACCTATCACCCATTGTGTTACAGCCTGCGCACTCTGAGGACAAGACAGCCAACAGCATGGTCCAGCCTGAACAGGCTCCAAAGGTACTGAGTGTGGTTGTGGACCCTCAAGGCCAATACACTCCTGAGATCAAAGCTACCACTGCTGTCTGCCCTTCTCCTTTCAAAATGAAGCCCATAGGACTTCAGGAGAGGTAAGAACTTTTTCTAGATTCCCCCGACAGGTTGCTTTTTTTCTTTTTAGAGTATTCCTAATTGAGAAGGATAGAACCAGAGATGATTGGCATACTGGGTAGAATTGTTCACCACCAAATGAACACCAGGAGGAAGTGGTTTTTCTTGTCCCCTAAAAGAGTCTAGCTGTGTTATCAATAATCTTTTAGTCACATCTGACTTTGATAAGACTTGGGTCTGGTGTAGACCCAATTCAAGTCTTCTTCAACTACAGAACAGCTTCTATAATCATTTATTGAGTGCTTTTGAAGGCCACTGCTCACACATAACACTATCATGTTTAATTGTCATCAAAACTCTGGTAGATAGAATGTATGGGAATAAGAATATTTATTGGATATAGTAGAGTATTTCCCACCAAAGACCACATTCTTGTAGGAAGGTAGAAAGAATCTATACCACAAATTAGTTTTTATGAAGTTTTCCCTCTGCTTCCTTTGAGCCAAACAAACAGTAAATATCTCAAGCTTCATGACATTATTTTTGTTGTTTACCTGCCTTTGTGATATACTTGTACTGGTACGTTCCCATTTAAAGCAAATTTAAATAGGAAAGCTAGAATATGCAAAATATTTATTTATTTATTATTGTAGTGGGTTTTACCATACATTGACATGAATCAGCCATGAATTTACATGTGTTCCTCATCCCGATCCCCCCTCCCGCCTTCCTCCCCACCCCATCCCTCCAGGTCTTCCCAGTGCACCAGCCCTGAGCACTTGTCTCATGCATCCAACCTGGGCTGGTGATCTGTTTCACCCTTGATAGTATACTTGTTTCAATGCTGTTCTCTCTGAACATCCCACCCTTGTCTTCTCCCACAGAGTCTAAATGTCTGTTCTGTACATCTGTGTCTCTTTTTCTGTTTTAGAATATGCAAAATATTTAAATGAGGGGCTAATTCTTTGCTTCCTCAAAATATTAAGTAGAACTTTCCCATGGTATGTCTTAAAATAAGAAGCTTTGCTCTTACATTTGAAATATGATTGATATTATATCCAACACTGCACATCAGGGTAGTGGAGAACTGAGAGCTTTTCAAGGTTCATTCTCCCAAGTTTGTCCTCCACTTGTTTCCCTGGGTCTCCATTTTCTATCACTGTCCTTGTTGTTACCTTAGGTTTTTAGAGCATGTATGTAAATTTTGATTGTATTTTTTATCACATGCGCACACATACACCCCATATTTCAGAAAATATATTTTAGGGCTTTAAGAACTGCAAAAAACCAAGTGGGTAATTCAAATTTCTTTGAAAGTATCATCAAAGAACAATGAATGAAGTGAAAAGAAAGGAGTTTGTTGCAGTGATCTCCAAAGTTCTATAAAAGAATACTTTGGCTCCATCATGGAAGGGAAATGGAGAACAATCAAGTCATTCTTCCTACCTCCTCCCCCAGAAGACTTGGTTTCCTTATGAATCTACTTGGGTCTACATGGACCATTCTCTTACTTAGATGCCACCAAATTGCTGTCTGGGCTACAATCTTAAAGGGCAGACAAGATGAACTTTCTCCTTAAGGCCAACCGGAAGAATGACTCCAGACCCAGCTCTGCCATTTCTGGATTGAGTGATTTCAGATGAATTATTTTACCTATCTGGGTCTTGCTTTCTTCTTCTGAAATACGAAGCAACTAAACTTGACTTCTTCACTTCCTTCAGGCTCTTTTATGCTTGTCATCCAAATTCGTTTCATGCCTTTATGTTTGCTTCAAAGAGAAACCTTGAAGCAGGTGTCTGAGCTGCAGTGGTGTAGCAAGGGCAGGGTGGCAGAAAAGATCTGGTCAGATGAAAGTGGTAAGGGGGTCACAGAGATGATTTAAAGTTGATAATAAAACTGACTGAAAATCAGACTAATTTTTATTAGCATCATGCACCACCAGTTCTGAGCAAGGTCAGCCGTTTAGTCCTCTGGGGAGAATCTATTTCCAGCATCCTGCCCTTTGTAGGCTACTGCTGGGCATGTTTGAATTTCAAGGGGCAGAAGGTTAAGTATCCACTAATTCATTTAAGTGAAGTGAATGTTTAAGAAAAGATTGCACAGGGATGCTGGCTTGCTCCTCTTTGTGGTCTACATGGGGGACTCTGGAGAGTAAGTGTGTGATCAGCGTTGTGGATTCCCTGCCTCCTGGTCTACAGACTTCCCTGCATCCCCACCCATTGCCTTCCACTTCCTGCCTTGAGCAGGAAAAAGCTCTTCTCTACACAAGGGCTCCAGCTCCTCCCTCCCCACCGGGATAACTTACTGTATCAAATTTCTTCCTCTAAGTTCAACTGCAACATTTTTGCTGATGCAATACCCTCAGCATGAAAATGGTTCTCTTTTGTATCAAATAAACTCCCTTCATCCAGTCCCTCCTCTGATTTTTATCTTTTCTTCCTTTCTCAGATGTGTCTTAAATAAGCAGTCTATTTGGTGCATCTGTGATCTTCTTTAAGCCTCTATCCTCGCTGTTTCTCTCACATCTTCTTGCCAAGTATGTCAGTGGTCTAACCACCAAAAGTCAAAGCACATGTTTTGTTTCTTTTTACATCCAACATTAACGCCCATTTCCTGTTTGATACTCTCTCTTCCTTTGGCTTCCAAGACATTAGTTTTCTAGTTCTTGAGTGGCTACTTTTAGGCACTGATGAACTTTCTCCCATAACTTCAGAGTTTCATCAGAGAGGTAGCTTGAGCTGAAGATACTTCTTTAGGAATCAACCATGTAAAAGGTAGTAAGAGAAGAAGAGGAAAATGGTCTTGGATTACCTGTGTGTGGTTGGACTACCCAAAAAAGAGACAAGTGGTCCTGGGGTGAGGAGTGGAGGTGAGGAATAGGCAAGGAATATGGAGAAGGCAATTCAAGCATCACTGTCTCATGAAAGTCATTACCTCCTCCTGCTTCTTCCTCTCACTCACCTTCCAACCCGGATTCAGTTCCCTCTTCCCCATGCCCCTCAATGCTAGTCCCATAATCTTGTGTGCATACAGTATTTATGAACTTCTTAGGTAAATTTTTTCATTTGTCTTACCCCATAAACTCTAAGCTTCTTTAGGGCACGTATATGATTTGTCTCTTCCATATAGAACATAATTCCTAAAAAGCAAGAGCTCCTGTAAATAAATGCTGTAATGAATGTATGAATGTTATATTGAATAATTCTCAGGTTAACAGCAAGTTTTTGTAAGGAAACACCTTATTTATTCCATCATCCCTATTCTCATCCTGTTTTTCTACCATACTTCCCTTGCCAAGATGTCATAGTGATGAGGGTTTTAAGAGTGATAAAAGATGAGAGATATACAGTGTTCCATATAGTAGAAACTTTCCTGAGAGTTTTAAGCCTTAAAACATAATTTATGTTTATATGGTCTAATGGCGCCTTTAAAATAGCCTTGTGTTTTATAGCCTTCCATCTCCTGATCCCAGAGTGAAATAATAATCCTCTGTTTATTGCATGAAAGTCTGGCACATTAAAATCACCGTGAGATCATAAAAGCTGCATTATAACTCATTTGTCCCCAAAAATCTTTTGGGTCATGCCACATAAATCTCTCATCCCTGAGGGGGAGAATCTATTCCTCTGACATAATTGATAATAGAATATAATTTTAAATTAAAAAGAAATAAAGGAAAATATAGAGGCTAATTGAATATGCTTGACTGAGTACAAAGGGTATACCCTGAAAATTATGCAGATTAAAGAATTATAAGAGGAGGGACAGAGCAGTCCCCTTGTTTTCCTCTATTTGCGATTAGTCACCAGGTCATATTGATTCTTGCTACTTGGATTTCGCCACTTTCAATTCCTCTCTTTGTAGCCATCACCCTGGACCTAGCTCTTATTACTTTATATTTGCATTATTATGTCCTATGATTATAAAAATGGCATTAGGACTAATGGGATTATATATTTCACGTATATGACTTTATTCCATCATTTCTGTCTGATCTAATTCTCTTCCCTCCCTCAGTTCATACTATACACTCTTCAGATTTATCTTGCTGTAACAATACTTGCATTATGTTACATTGCTGTGTATGCATCCTCAGTAGCTCCGCTTTGCCTGCAGGATCAGGCACAGCCTACCTTGGTGAGCCTTAGAGGTCCTGTACTATCTGGCTCTGAATGTTCCATTTACCACAATGCCCCCAAGTAAACCCCGCAGCCAGTTCTCAGCGGGCCATGCCCCTGTCTGCGTGTGCACCTTTGTTGGCCTGCTTGCTCCTCATCCTCCTCCAGCCATCCCTAGCCTCCAGGTCCCAACACGAAACTCACCTTCTACCTTTGGCCATGACCCCTACTGGAGCCCACGGTGTTTTAACACCTCTGCCTTTTCACATGTACCACACTTCTAGCAGTGACTTTTAATTAAAGAATCATTTAGAAAGGGACAGAAATGGGTTTTTGATAGACTGTCCTGTCCCCTCACCAGCTTGTGAGAGTCTTAACGACAAGTACAGGCTCAAGGTATTTCTGCGTGTTTCATATTCCCGTGTGTTCCATGGTTCCTGTGAGCACCATATATTGTAAACACGTGGAAACCATTATGGAGTTAATTAATTAAGTAATGCTCCTTTACATATGAGGATCTCAAATATTTATTTTAAAAATTCCATAAAAACAGGTAGTCTAATGACAAACTACTGAGCTGGGTCTCTGTGCTAATACTACTTGACATTTACTAAATAAGTGACTCAGAAGGTTAATTAAGTCCTTTTGGTACAGTTTTCCTAATCTACAGTTTTCCCAATCTACAAAATAGGTATGATAGTATCTGTTCCACCTTTTTTCAAAGGATACTGTAAAATTAACAGTCAATCTAGGGACCTTCCCTGGTGGTCCAGCAGTTAAACTGCTTCCACTGCAGGGGACATAGGTTCAAGCCCTGGTTTGGGAACTAAGATCCCATGTGCAATGTGGTGCAGACAATTTATTTTTTAATTTTTAAAAAAAATTTTTAGTAAAATTTTAAA